AATAATCCAGAACAGCCTAGTAACCACTTAGCAACACCCTGGAAACTACCAACAACACCCTAGCATCACAACATCAAAACAAGTTTTCTACAGGCAGCACTGCTCACTTTTTTCTAACAGGCTAATATAATTGTTCCCCCTATAGTCAATGCCACAAAGCAGCCAACCTGTTGCTTTGTATTGATTTTGATCTCACTTTCTTTTGAGCAAACGCTAGCATTAGCAATGCAGTTTATGATAAATGTGTCATGTTTCAGTGCTGCTTGTTTGAATTCTGCCTGCGTGTTTGTGTGCATTAGAATGACAGATTCCCATCAGCATGGTGTTGCTATAAATAGTGTTGGGAGCGAGAAGCGTAATGCGGTTTAGGCAGAGTGTGTAAATGGGAAGCTCTGTGTTTCGTTCCCTTCAGGGTCTGTTGACTGTGTGGGCAGACAGCAGACCACGTCACAATCCGGTGTGATGGCTACGCCAAGCGTCTCTACGTATTTACACATCATGTCTTTTCTGGCACTTGTTTCTCCGGGAAGGAGAGCAAGAGTGGCTGTATAGCAGAATTCATTAGTGGTGTTATATCTAATGAGTGTTGAATCGGACTAGTCAACACAATCGCATGTAACTATTTTAAGTTATGACAAAGTAAATTTGAACTAAAATTTCAAACTAAACAGGTTTCTGTTGGTCAGTGTGGCAACCCTGCAAACAAGCCTGCACTGGACCTTTACGGGCTGCCAGCGCAGGGCCCCTGAGAATTTCCTCATTGGCAAAACGTTGGCCCCTTAGCACTTACCCTGCACGGTCAGCCCTCACTTAGCCTCCAGGAAGCCTTAGCGCTGTTTTATTGAAAATAATAAAGTTTGAAGTCACCATTATGGAGGTAAGCGCTTGCTTTAGTTGGGCTCTTGACCCTTGACTTTTTAACTTAAGTTTTTCTCTGGCTGCTGTAAATGTGTGTTTCTGAAGCACATTTGTTATAGCGAAGGTTGCAAGAAAAACTGATTCCCTGATCTCACCCAGAGTTTGATCTCTGAGGACATTATTTAGATTTAATTATTTCACATATTAGTAGCCCTAGAATACAACTGCATAAAATTTTGTCCTGCTTTAATATTTTGAACATTTTCAAGTTGTTATGCAGAAATTATTTGGATGGGATCATGTAGACTCACAAAGATATCAAGATTCAGCATATGAACCTCAACAATGGTAAGTCAACAAAATATTCAGATAAACTCTGAACATCAAAAAACAAGCTTTTTGTTGATTGTCACCATTGTTGAGGTTTATACGCTGAATCTTGATATATACAAATACTATAAAGTGAAATTATTAAGCCTAAATAATGTTCTCAGAGATCAGCCTCTGGATGAGATCAGTGAATCAGACTGAATCATTAATAAGTAACCATCAGCATCTGATCAGTTTGTTTTCTCACAACTTTTACTGTAACAAATGTGTTTCAAAAACACACATTTACAGCAGCCAGAGAAACACTTAAGTTAAAAAGTCAAGGATCAGGAACCCAACTAAAGCAAGCGCTTACCCCCATAATGGTAACTTCAAACGTTATTATTTTCAATAAAACTGCACTAAGGCTTCCTGGAGGCTAAGTGAGAGCTGCCCGTGCAGGGCCAGTGCTAAGGGGCCAACGTTTTGCCAATGAACAAATTCTCAGGGGCCCTGCCCTGGCAGCCCTAAGTGGGCCCGTAAAGGGCCAGTGCGGGCTTGTTTGCAGGGAAACCATTCCCCATTTGGGGAAAAATAAATAAATAAATAAAATAAAAACGACCTATGATTTTTATTTGCAGTTTGCTAACTGACTTTTGCACTTGACTTCTGGGAACAAGGAGCCTTTTTTAATGTCAGTTTGGACAGTCTGAGATGGAAATTTCCAAGCACAGTTAGTGAGTGATTAAACGATGGTGAGTGAGTGAGTAAATAAATAATATAAAAATCATGCACTAATTTGAGAAAAGAACAGAACATAATAACCATTCATCACTTTACTGTAACAAACTTGGATGATTGGGTATAAAATAATCTATTTGTATGAAGAAATGGACCTCTGTCTGGAAGCATTTTCATCCATTTACAAAAATACAATAGACCATGAAGGTAAAGTAATCAGAATTCTGAAGATCAAACCAAGTGTAAATAAATGAATCATGGAATCATGGCAAGAATCTGGGATCGGCTTAAATACATCTGTAGGTATAGAGAGGTTTACTTTTGAGAAGATGATGTGAAAAACTGAAAATCCACCCTAACTGCATGTCTGGAATGAAGAATCATTGCAATGTAGACCAATAGAACTTAAGATATACTTAAGGTCAAAGCATAAGCCATATGTAATTTGATACAAATAAAAACAAGACTGAGGAAAAGCAAGGATCCTTAAACATCTGCTGCTTGTGCTCAACATATTTTGGGCACTACACATTGCCCAAAGGCTTATGAGAGCCTCAGTTAGGGAGAAGATTCTGAGATAAAAGTGTATTTGAAGAGCTTTCGGGCCTCAGTTTGGCATATTCCTAACACAGCACATCAAACTGAGAAGAACATTATGCTCGAGTGAACAAGGGTGGTGGCAGCTTCACGCTTTAGGGATGGACCTCTGTGGCAGGGTCTTGGAAAACTCCAGGAAAGAAGGAAAACATACATAGTGCTAAATACAGGAATCTCCTGAGGCAAAGACCTGATGCATGTATGCAAGAGGATGGGGCTTAGAGTTCAGTTCATCCGCCCACAGGACAATTACCTCAAACATACTGGAAAATGCAAAAGAACCACGGTAGCGACTTAAAGCCACACAAATATATGTCCTCAAGTGCTTCACTTAAAGCCCAGACGTCACTCCAAATAATTATTTCTGGGTCCAGAACAGTCTTGAAGATGAGAGAGCACATTATTCATTACAAAGTGCTGCTATATGTCTTCAAAGCTTTGCATGGCTTTGCACCAGATAATGTTTTTGATTTAATCAGTCTGCATCAATCTAATAGGTCTCTGTGTTCAAATGATCAATTACACCTTGTGTTTCCTCGCTTGAAATGCAAAAGTGATCAGGCCTTTTCTATTGCAGCGCCAAGGCTCCTACCCTTAGTGTATTTCAGAGTGCGCTAAAAAAGCTTTTGAAAATGCTTTGTAAGTTGTTGTTTGTTGTGGTATGTGTCTTATTAGTTTATGTCTGTTTTTATTCTTTTATTTATCATACTGGTAAAAAATGTATAGCCTGAATGCACTGTAAGTCGCTTTGGATAAAAGTGTCTGCTAAATGCATAAATTATTATTATTATTAATGATTAAATTATTTATTCTTCTTGTACAGAACTTTGGTTCTTGAGGTATTGAATGTGCTTTAGAAATAACTTTTGAGTTGAGAACTGTCTTGAAGGAGCCAGAACAGTTTTGCTAAGAAAAATGATTGCCCACTGTCACAAACGGTTACCCAAAGAGACTCAAGGGCATATTCGACGAAGTGTTAAAGATCTATTAAAGAAGCAGTATTCGCAAAGAATTTAACTTCTATAGTGTGACAAATCTGAATCAGAATGCTACTTTTTAGGCTACTTTTCCTCACCAACAAGCCATTTCAGATTTATTACATTTTGTATATATATATATATATATATATATATATATATTTATAGCTTAAAATGGCCAACTGTTATCCCGCGGTGCTTTGAAATGAAAGGTAATGTAATGGTCTGTCTGACAGGTCCCAGGACAGTGTGGCCAGATGAGACCATGGGTCCGTTTGGGCCTCAGGATCAGCGCTTCCAGTTGCCAGGCAATGTGGGTTTCGACTGTCACCTGAAGGGTACCGGGTTACAGATGACAGGGCCGGTTCACAGGATGGTCCCGCATTTTGATCAAATATTTTGAAACCAAACATTTTTTTCTGTAGAATACCATGCTGAAGAATAGTGTTTAATAATTACAGAGACACAGGTAAATAAATTAAAGTAAAAATACAATTAAATGTGCTCAATATACTATGTTGTTACTTCATTAAAGTCAACTAGTTTGCACCTCTGCCAAGACCTCTCATTCTTGATGAGTTTCCCACCTTCCAGTAGCTCCCTCGAGGGTGTAAACTTGTTCCCTAGAGAAAGAGCAAATCTCAATTTCATCAGGTCTGGTTGTGTGCACTTCTGTGTATTTGAGTTTGAAAGCAGGCTTGTTTTGTTTGTTTGTGTGTGTGTGTGTGTGTGTGCCTGCCTGTGTGTGTGTGTGTGTGTGTGTATGTGTGCGCGCCAGGGTAAAGCCTGTGTCAATGTATGCTTTTGTTCCACTCTGGGGTCATGCAGTATTTATGAATGTGAAGACGTATAGCTGAATAGAACATCACAGTCCCTTTTGGGACTTCTTATGTTACATATGCACCTCATTCATACATTTAAAACACTCAGACATGTATATGCCAGTGCAGGTTATATGAAAGAGAATATAAAGAATTGGTTTTTAAATTGGTCAAATTTGAAAGGGAAAGTCAGTTATTATGCTTATCACACAGCTGGGTTTATATCTGATTTGGCTGCCCCAGTTATGACAAAGAGATTAGAACTCTTTGTCTAAATCATGCATAAATATCAGACTAAATCATTTCAAATCTGTTGCTGTGTGACATTGCAGTCCTTTGCATAAAAATATTTTTAAAAAGTAGGATTATCATATACCCCTGTGAGATGCCTACAAAGACAGCATTTTCAAAAAGTAGGCAGCAGTCCCAGAATGCATTGGGGTGAGGTCAGTGCAAAAAAATTGCCACTTTCCTGAATTTATAAATTCTAAACAGAAACTCTAAAGCAAGCTATCTGTGGAATAAGTCAGTTCATTTCAGGAGCTACAGCTAGGGTTGGGAATACTGGGGATACTTGTTGTCAAATTAAAATTCATCATTTAAGCAATAAATGCATAAATGATGTATATACAAACAAAAAACAGGCTATTCTGGTTGTGTGTCCCTTCTCAATATGTCCTTCTCTTTTGTTTTTCAGGTATGATGTCGACTCCAAGAGCCCCAACCTTTCAAAACATGTAAGTCTCAGAAATTGCTCCATGTTTTATTATAGACTCTATAAACCAGTGGTTCTCAACCCTTTTATTATAGACTCTATAAACCAGTGGTTCTCAGCATGCGGCCCGTCACGAATTCAAATGTAGCCCACCATGCTGAACACAATAAAAAAAATAACTTTCAGTTTTACAATTCATTTTAGTTTTTATATTAATTAAAAAATGTACTAAACAAATATAAGCTATGTTTTTGTTATGTAAAATAATGTTGTTTTTCATATATTATTTTCAGACATGAGCAGACCTGTACTCACGTAATTAACGTTACGCATTTAACGAACACTTACAAGCGCGCACTTTGGCAGAATTCAATTCAAATAGTCATCAGCAGCCATTAGATCGGTAAAATTGAGCATCAGAATGGACAAATTTGTTATTAAGGGAGAAAAACTAAATGTGGAAAATGCCAGTGAAGGAACACATACAAACAAGAATTGTCGCAGTATCAGCAGTGAAGGTAGGAGAGTGCTGAACTTTCGGCATCAACTTTCGGTTTGCCCCGCCACTCACTTGAAGATGTTCAGGCAAAAAGAAACACCTATACTATATGCAGCAATCATCTCTGGAGAGAACCTGATTATTAAATTCGAAAGTGCTTTCCATATTTGGATCAACATAGGCTACATTTGTGAATGCACATTTTCTGCAAAGTCGCGTGTCTTACAGACTGCAACTTACAATCGCACCTTCATTGTGCCGTTACTCCTTTCGAGCCGAATTTCACAAAATTGGTCAGCTCCCGACAGCATCAGGTGTTTTATTAATGGTGAGTAGAATTATTTATTTATTTACTTCAATGAATGTAATCGATTAGATATCATAATATTTAGGCTATAATATTATAAATCTGGTTGTTTTGTATTGGTGATGTAATATGTAAATGATATGCGTACGGCCCGTGAGACCACTGCTATAAACCCTTACCCTGTTGACCACCTCTAGACTATTATGAAGTTTAGGATGCCATCATACACACTCGCCCCGCAGTAAAACCATCTCATAGTGCTTGTAATCAGCAGGTGTGTATACTGTGATTCTGGATTTATTATTATTATTATTTTTTTTTTAGATTAGTGTATTGATCTTCTGAACACCATCCTTTAAATGAGGAAATTCAAACAATAAATACCATTTTGTGGCTCTTTAATGTGTTGTGACGTATCGCTGTAGTGCCTTAGTTTAAGCGGCACATGATCTGATTATCTTTTCATATTTACTAGTTAAAGCATGAAATAAGCATGAATGAACATTAGAAAGTATTTTATTTCAACTGCATAAAGACGTCAATACACACCATTTTTCAAGTTTAAGTCCATCTATGTTAATCTACTCTCCTGTCATCGGTCAAAATGGTGGATTTGGTAACAAACATGATTGGTCAGATCACCTGTCAATCAAGCTTCCTGCAAAGGGTCAAGTGGAACCTTTATTTTTATGAGTCTAGGATTTTTGGTAATTCCTTGGCATTTACAAGGCAAACTAGCAATAGTCAGGTAGTAGTAAAACTGAGGTAATTTAATACTAGATAATTCAGCATTTGTAGCACAGGAGACTGTGGACATCCATCAATGTGTCAAAGTGGAACTGTTTATTGAAACAAATCATGGCTTGTAGTAAACCACCCACCAACAACACCATTGATCTAAACCAGCCATACACTTCACTGTAAATCTGCTATATCCCAAGCAGCACTCGCAAGCATTTGTACGGCTATTGTTTCCTGCCGTGATCATGTTGACACACTAGCTGTAAAGAGACAGATAAACTGATCTCTCCACACATCATGCACAAGAGTAATTGAAAACACCCTCAGTGACTCCAGTGAGCATGCAGGATCCATCCCTGAAAATTACCACCTCAAAATTATCTAACAAATCAGACACAGTGCCTCCTGGTGCTTTTACTCCCTCCCTTAGTCACCCAGAAATCAATAGTACTCTCTTCCCCCCTGACTTGGAAAGACAAACACTGCTTGTCCACTCCCGAAGGGAATTGTGCATAAAACCATTATAGGATGTGTTGAAAGGCAAAGAGCGACTACGTTCTCAGGTGAAAATTAAGAGAAGGGGCAGCAGGGAGAAAACCACGCATACAGAGACAGAGAAAGAAACAGTGAGAGATAGATAAAGAAAGAAAGAGGAAGAGAAGGAGGTCTTCATAGAGTTGAAGACAATAATAAAGATAGTACATTCATATTAATCTTTATTAATACAAATTGAGAGTTTAGTCGCCAGCAGTAATTAGAGAAGCGGTAGAACAAGTGCTCATGGGAAAGTCTGTGTCAGTGAAAATTAAGAATCTCATAAATTACTGAGGATGAACTCAGAGAGCAAAAACTAGTGTCTAAATTAGTGACAGTCACATTGGAGAAAAAAAAAAGTTCACACCAAAAATATTTTATTTATTTATCGAAGAAACACAACAATCACGCTGTTCTTTTCCATATGACAAAAGAATATAGATTGCAAGCTGGCAAAAAAGTATTGTAAATATATTACACTCATTCACTGTATTCAAATCCTTCTGAAGTCACATGGTTACTTTTGTGAGGAACACACTGAAATTCTTCCCCTCCGCCATATCACTCAAATCTCATTTGCATTCTCATATCCAAAATTGCTGTCACATTTGGTTACAAGACATGTGAGAACTAATGCAACATTAATTTCAAACATGACACTATACTTTTTCACACCATTGAGGCTGGGATTAGCCCAATCAGTTTAGTTGATTTTGACTAAATATTTATTTATTTATTTAAAGTAAATCATCTAGCTAGACCAGTTGCCCTTAAAATGATTAAATTATTTTGTCCACCCTATCAACTTGGCATCACAGGAAGTGCACTTCTTTGGCTTGAGTCATGGGGAGATGCTTCAAGGTTTGCTGAAGGGGAAGACTCAGAATAACATGAAGTAATCCCTGGGGTGCCTCAGGGTTCAGTGATTGGTGGATTGATATATCCACACTTTTCAGTCAGCAGATGATTAAATTAAATTAAATTAAATTAAATTAAATTTGCATGTGTATTTGCACATTTATAGATAAGCATACAATTTGCATTACCTGTTCTACCATACCTATTTGTTTATTATTTTGGAAAAACGTCCCACATTATTACACTGAAATTATGTCTTTAAAAAATACAAACACACCCGCTAGGGCAAAGCAGTTTGTCTCAGTTTCATTCTTATTCTCTGGATGTCTCTGGATGTTTTCGTTTTCTCCTGTTTCCTTTGATCATTCTCGCTCCACTGCACTATCCATTGATGCACATTTTTATTAATACAGAATAAGGTAAATGAAGATCTATCATTTTTAGCATACCGGCTACATTACACAAACAGTATTGCCTACCCTTATAAAAACTGTTGTTGCTAAGGTCAGTGGGGTGGAACTTCACAGCTCTGCCAGGAAAATCATTTGAATTCTTTTGGCTTTTCTAAGCAAATCATTGTGCTTCACTTCAGATTGATTATCAGAGGGGTGACAACTTTTCCACATGGTGTTTGAACAGTTTCAGTCTTTAAAATAATGTGATTTTTGATATATACAATAATAATTAGGGATGCACCGATACCGAGCTCCTGTACTCGTTAAAATGCCCCGATACCAAACGCCGATAGGACACAGCATGTGATAAGTGGAATACATGTCTACATTATCCCACATTTCTGCCACAATACCATGGTGATTTGTAGATTGAAAAGCCTTCTGACTGTATCATTGCGCACAGTGTTTCTGCTGTTTGTCAGTGCTGTTTCATTTGGCTTTAAACTAGTTTAAATCACAGAAGCATTTGTGTTCTTGCTGAATTCAAGCGCTTCACACTGGATCTCACAGCGCTGTTTAGTGGTTGCGTGATCAGTGAGTAAACACATCTGCTCTAGTCAGCTCGCTCTGTGCTGCGCCGCCAATTGAAACAAGTGGATAAATGGTCCGTGTGGCGCGGTTCAAATGAGTAGCACTGTTTTGTTCCGCTTTTGGCTCATAAACATTAAATCGAATATTTATCGAACTCGTTTTATTGAGGAAAATTATATCACTATAATTATAGTTATCGTTTTATCGCCCAGCCCTACCTCAATGTATATATGCTATATATGCTGGACCCCAGGTAATTGTATGTCGATTTGTAAACTTAAAATATTCATTTTAAAATCATTCTAATGGTACATTCTGATGGCTATCGATTGTAATTACCACAGAGATACAGTATATTTATGACAGTGAATTCCACTCAGAAGAAGCCTCCAAAGTCGAAAATACACAAAACAACATACAATTGCTTTAATGGGTTTGGCAAGGCCACTTAATTCTTGCGAAGATAAATCTTAATGCTACGTAGAAAATTATGGGTTTCCAACTATGTGACAATGGTCTGGAAGGACTATTTTCTACTTCAGCATAGCAGTGCCTTGGTGGGCAAGGTCCAAAAAGAAAAGATTTACTTAGTCTACTGTAAAAGAACTTAAACTGGCTTGAACTAATCCAAAACCTGAGTTCCACTGACCACCTTAGGGATGCATTGGAACACTGACTCTGAGTCAGACCCCATCGCCACGGACCAAAGCCCAACAGTCATGTGCCAACACCTACTGGAAAGCTTCCCAGATAGGGAGGGCCGACTCATTATAAATGCCTATGATTCTGAATTTAAAAGTTGAACAATCACACAGAGCTGTGGGGTTTTGGTGACGAAATAATGTTGTCCATATTGTGTACTGTAGTTGATAAATCAAAGCTTATCTTTGCTCTTACCCAGTGATTACAGATAAAGTTGAAGAAATCTCAAATATACTATAAATAGACAACTTGAAATACTGACCTTTCGTCTTGCCATATTGAAAAATGCCACCCAGTCCCCTTTAATGTTCTCTCTCATTGCAGGATTTCCTTGGCCAGGCCTGTTGTACATTGGGAGAGGTTGTGGGATCATTGGGTGGTCGTATGGAGAAGGCTCTTGGGTAAGAACTGCTCTATTTGGCTTCTTTCCTCCATTTATAAAGCTCACATCCTTTTAGTGTGATAGATCATTGGTTCTCAACTCTAGTTTTGGGGACACACTCCTCTGCACATTTTGAATGTCTTCCTTTTTTAACACACCTGATTCAGATAATTAGCTTGTTATGAGAGAGCACTATGAACTGCACAGAGTGCGTCAGATAAGAGAGACATACAAAATGTGCAGAGCTGCCTGTGGGACCCAGGATGGGAGTTGAGAATCACTGTGAAAGATCCCATTCTCATTTATCATCCAACAACTTTGTCAATGGTCTGCCAGTCTGGTAGCAAATTATAAGGAATTTTAATAAATAGGTAACTGCACTTTATATGTTAGTCGAACATTCTCTTTTGTCATTAAACATTTTGTTTTGAGCATGTGTAGTTCAAGAACTGATTAATAAAAATTGATCTTGTAAATGTTTCTAAATATTTTATTTCATGTTTTAATTCTCACACTGTTTGGATGTGTTTTGTTTTTGACTGCCTGTCTTGACCTTTTTGTCGTCCAGGTTAAATAACCAGAAAAGTGTTTTTTGAGAAACTGCCGTTCTTAGCTAATCTGAAACCAGTTTGATATTTGATGCAGTTAAAGCTTAAAATTCAAAACAATCACAGTGTGTTGTGTACAGTTTAACAGTGTGTTAAAATACAGTTCGAATTTACATTTACATTTATTCATTTAGCAGATGCTTTTATTCTAAGAGACTTACAATTGAGGAATACAACAAGTGTCGGTGCGAATGTAACCCTTTAAATGGTACTGGGAAATAGTTCGCGCAAAATCGTCCCAGTACTTTAGTACTGTACATTTAGTTCTGGAACTAAAGCGGTGCGAAAGGCCCTATTGTTCAGATTAGTACAAACTAGACAGAGGGGGATTAAGGAAAGAGAAAGCAATGTTTTGTTTTGTTTTTGTTTTTTTATTATTTGCAGTCAAATGTTGACGATAGAGATGAGTTTTCAGCTGTCGCTTGAACATTGTCAGGGATTCAGCATTCTGGATGGGGGTGGGAAGATCATTCCACCAGCTAGGAACAGTGAAAGAAAATGTTCTGGAAAGTGATTTTGTGCCTCTCTGTGGTGGTACCACGAGGCAGTGCTCACTTGTAGATCTCAGGCTTCTGAAGGTGATGTAGATACGTAAGAGTGAGTGGACGTAGGAGGATGCTGAGCCTGTGGCTGTTCTATATGCAAGCATCAATGTCTTGAACTTGATGCGAGCCGCAACCGGTAGCCAGTGCAGGGAGATAAAGAGAGGTGTGACATGGGCCCTTTTGGGCTTGCTAAAGACCAGTTTTGCTGCTGCATTCTTAATCATTTGTTGAGGTTTGATTGCGCATGATGAAAGTCCAGCCAGAAGAACATTGCAGTAGTCCAGCCTAGAAATGAGAAGGGCCTGGACAAGAAGTTGTGCAGTATGCTCCGTTAGGAAGGGCCTGATTTTTCTGATGTTGTGCAATGCAAACCTGCAAGATTGAGCAGTTTTTACAATGTGGTCTTTGAAAGTCAGCTGGTCATCAACGATTACACCAAAATTTCTGACCAAACTTGATGGGGTAATTGTTGATGAACCTAGCTGGATGGTGAAATCAATCTGTAGATTTGGAGTGGCAGGGAAGACAAAAAGCTTAGTCTTTGTCAGGTTGAGCTGTAGGAGATGTTCCTTCATCCATGCTAAGATGTTCTCCAGGCAGCCTGAGATCCGTGCAGCTACCGTTGGATCCTCTGGTTGAAATGAAAGATAGAGCTGTGTGTCATCAACATAGCAATGGTAGGAGAAGCCATGTGCCTGTATGATGGGTCCCAGTGATGTAGTGTATAGGGAGAAGAGGAGGGGTCCAAGAACTGATCCCTGAGGAACCCCAGTGACCAGTTGATGTGCTTTGGATACCTCCCCTGAAAGACCTACCTGCTAGGATTCAAACCAGCGAAGTGATGCCCTGTGATGAGAGGGTGGACAGGAGGATCTGATGATTCACAGTGTGTCAAAAGTGACGGATAGATCCAGCAGAATGAGAACTGATGATTTGGAATCAGCTTTCGCAATCCGCAAGGCTTCAGTGACTGACAGTAGCGCAGTCTCAGTTGAATGTCCACTTCTGAAATCTGACTGGTTAACGTCCAGTTCGTTATTTTGTGAAATAAATAATGTTGCCATGCTTTGTACATTGCAAGAAAACACAGTACAAATGTTCCTTTGCAGAATTTATGATGAAAGGAATGCTGGGAAATCGTCAGGGTATTATAGCTGAGCAAACTGTGACACTGTAAGAAGTTTAGTTGAGTGTATAAAGTTCACATCGACTAATGAGCTGCTGCTCGCTATTGCTGCTCTTTAGTCTGACTCCGCTCATTAAAGTCTTTATTCCACCTCATCTGCACAAACAAACCTTTGAGCTTCCAGTTATATTAGAACAATGTTATTTGTCACATAGTTTATCACGCATCTTTGTTTCCCAACCGTTTTTGTCTTATGAACCTTCACAGCTCTGCTAGTAAGGCATTTTCAGACACCAAATCAGAAATATTTTTGGTCACACTTTATTTTAAGGTCTAATTCTCTCTATTACCAAACCATTAACTACGACTTTTGCCTAAATAAACTACTAATTTGCTGCCTTTTGCCTAAATAAACTACTAAGTTGCTGCTTATATATATATATCAGGTAAGGTAAGTTGTAAAAGTAGCGAAAAAAAAGCGAAATGCATGCACATCTTGGCACAAATGCTATCCACATAAATTGACAAAACAAATTATTTCTTTCTTTCTTTGAAAAGTAACTTTGTGTGTAAGGATGAGGGTTATTTACTAATTACAAAAACATATACTGTGTGAATAACAATAACATATATTTTAATTAATTATTATTTAAATGTTCTTATTTTGTAGTCATATGCATACTTTACTGTTTATAATTTCTGTTTTATAGGTTAAAAAAGCTAAAAAAATTGGAACCTGCCTAAGTAGCTTGTATAATAAACTTACTCATGGTTAGAAATTCTAGATGTACAGTATAGAAATATACAACTAAACTGCATCAGTAAATCTGCAGCTGAATTCATAGTCAGTGCAGAATTGCACAAGATTCTCAGCTCTTACATCTATTTATTCTACATGACCAATTTCAATATAATGTTCCTCTTGAAATACAAAAAAATCTGAATGACTCCCCTGAAATATGTATGAGAAGACATCTTAGTCCTATTTATTAGATAGCTCTGCTGGGTCCCTCAGTTGCACAGGTTGGGGTTGTCATGGTGACTACTGGGTTTCTCACACTTCATGTCTTCCATTTGTTGGGTCAACTTATTTGCGCTGTAATGTTTCACAGTTCTGTACGACAAAAACCTGTATTTCTGTCTAGCAGCTGTCTTACCCCTTATGACGTACAAAGCAGCTTGCGTATTTGCTGCATCATGATTGCCTTTTTAAAATGTTCTCATCACTCAGAAAGTTTCTGTTACCCTTCAACTGATCGATAATAACAGCAAACTAATAAACCTATAAAGTTCTAATCAATTAATCTTGTGCCGACCCTCGCTCTTACAGTGTTATATACTGGAAGTAATGATAGAGCACATACGAAAACTTGTTTACATTAATTACATATTCTAAGGAAGATATTAAATGATTCTAAAAGATATTAAGTAAATTATTTGATTTGTTGCTCAAGTAAATATATTATTAGGGCCCGAGCACCGATGGTGTGAGGACCCTATTGGAATTGCTCCGTTTCTTATTATTAGGGCCCGAGCTTTTGCCTGTGCAGACTGCATTTATAGTTAGATGTGCAACCAACATGAAAACCAGAGAGCTGTCTATGGGTGAAAAACAAGGATTGGTGAAGCTGAGAGAAGATGGAAAATCAATCAGAGCCATTGCACAAACATTGGCCATGGCCAGTACAACCATTTGGAATGTCCTGAGGAAGAAAGAAACCACTGGTGTACTAAGTAACAGAACTCAAACAGGTAGACCAAGGAAAACATCAGCAGTTGATGACAGAAACACTGTGACATCTGTAAAGAAAGACCCTAAAACAACTGTTAGTCACATCAGCAACAACCTCCAGAGGGCAGGAGTGAAGGTATCAAAATCTACTGTTCGCAGAAGACTACACGAACAAAAGTACAGAGGGTACACCAGAAGATGCAAACCACTCATATTAAATAACAATTAAATTTAAAGTACAACTATTCTGTATATACATATATATATATATATATATATATAGTAATTTTTCTGTTATAATAAAGTATTATTCAATTATTAAGGAAGATTGAATGAGAAGTGCATACATTTACATTAAATACTTGATTTATTATATTTGATTTGATCAAGTTAATCTCCAGACTTAAACCCTATAGAGTATGCATTTTACCTGCTAAAAAAGAGACAGAAAGGGAGTAACCCCCCAAAACTGAAAGAAGCTGCGGTGAAAGCCTGGAAAAGCATGACAAAAGAAGAATGCAAACGTTTGCAAAACGCCCGATCTATGAGCCTGTCAAACCCCAAAATGGGCAAAATAAGCTCTATTATTTTGTTATTAAAAAAAAGTAACTAAAGCAATGCTCACTTTGCTGTATGACAGATCGGTTCCACCCAGAGCACAATGGCATAGCCCCAGTCCAATTACATTCACTTAAACTCTGTACACATGAGAGAGCGTTCGAACAGCCAATATGTTAATAATAGGCATGCTAATAAGCAACTAGTTAATAGTGAGAATTAGTCCCTAAACTGAAGTGTTATCATTTTTAGTTTTGCTAATGAGTTTTTGTGTGCAGTCCAGTTTTTCCAACTCTGCTGAAATCAGTTCTGTCCAAGTCTGAAGTTGTGCGCTTCACGTGATGAGCACTATTTGTGTGCTTCACAAAGCTGTTTCAGATCAGTTACTATGAAATTACATTTCATAGACTGCTGCCTATATAGTCAGGAGAAAGAAAGGCAGCTTGCTAGGAGCTAATCTCATTTGGCTTCTCAGCATGTCTGTTATAGTCTGTTCAGAGTAGCCGCTTTATCTTAGTTGTAAAACACAGGATTCAGTAATAGCATGCATGATGTGCCAAGAACTTCAGCTGTGCTCACACACACACACACACACACAGAAATGCAGAAAGACCTCCGCATTGCTAGCGTAATTGTTACATTTGTCTTTCACAACAGGGATCAATAGACCTTATCTCATTCCCTGCTGAAGCATTGCATCTCACACAGACAGTGAATGTGTGTCTACATAAACGCTTGTCAAATGGATTTCTGATTAGGCCTTTTAGCCTTGCCATCTGGGTACAGTAGTCAAGCAAACGTAACATGCCAAGCTGTTTAGCATTTGCATAATGTTAGCTGTCTAGAAACCCTGAATGACCAAATACTCAGCTCATTTATACTGATATTGTTGTCCCAAGTGCTCTAAATCCACACGTACACTCCCGTTGCCCTCATAACCTGCTTTTCTAAATCATTCTCGCCCTGCAGGAGTCTGTGATGATGCAATTTTGTGGCAACAAACTGGACAAAAAGGACTTCTTTGGCAAATCGGACCCCTTCTTAGTGTTTTATCGCAGCAATGAGGATGGAACGTGAGTAATACAGACACATGAGCGGATTCTTGCCAGTTACACACACTGCTCACAGCATCAATTTCATCTCAAGCCTCTATGTTGGGGAAATGGCTTTCCATTGAATTCCTTTAAGTTAATACCCATAGTCCTTTGCACCTGGATCAGCAGGGGTTCTTTTGGAATGGAACAATCACTCCTTACCTGGTTGATTCTGTTCCTCAATAATTCCAGATTCCTTCACTCAGAGAGAAAGGGGTTATTCAACTTTGAGAAATTTATATTAAATATTTATGTATTTATTTAAGCTACAGTTATATACAGTACAAAATAATTGTGTGTATATATATTAAATAACAATGAAATTTAAAGTACAACTATTCTGTATATACATATATATATATATATATATATATAGTAATTTTTC